AGCAGACTAAGGCTGTAGACTGTCAGTAGAGCTGGGAGAACAAATGTGTGAAATGTTTAAGAAGTAAATGGGAAAATAGGATATTTGCAAAAGTTTATCAAGCTCATATTCATCAACAAGCAGGAATTAAAATACAGGAGCAAAAATAACTCTGTTTTGCCCTGTCGTTTATGGCTTGTCAAAGGTATTAGAGTGAGAGCGAGAGCTAAAAGAACACAGAGGTCTGCAGATTTACATACAAAAACTTACTGTGGAATTGTTTTGTATAAGTATGTTGGCATATATGTGGGTTTTGTTTTGGTTTGTTCTATGGGTGTTGATCTTAATACGCTGTGCTTTTTGTTCTATTTTTCTCAAAAGGAAATCTAGGAAAACTTGTCTAAAAACTGTACCTGGCATTAAACTAGAAATACCAATATTTAATGGATTTCTTGAGAACTAGTATTTCCAAGTCGGCTGCACTATGACAGCAACTATTTAAAAACCCATGTTTGGCTTATGCGTGAAGACTTTTAAATAAAACTTTTTCTTCCTCATCAAGAAAATCTTTAGTTTGAAAACAATGAATTGAAAAAGCAGCATTGTGCTGCAAAATTTTCTCTCAACTTTTAATATACTATAGAAGGAATTGCTGCCAACATAATCCTCCAAAGGTAAATTTAATAATAATAACAAAATTCTAGGTGGATTTTCTATTTATAAAAAAGGTGCAATTTCCCTGTAACTAGAAAAAGTTAATTACTGTGAGTGAGATGGGTTTTTAAAGTAAAAGTTCCATTTGTATGTTATGTTTTTTAACCTGGCAACTTACTGCATCTACAGGTGGATGAAAGCCAGACTGGAGAACCAGGGTGGCTTGGTGGAGAATTGAAGGGAAAAACTGGATGGTTCCCTGCAAACTATGCAGAGAAAATACCTGAAAATGAAGTTCCAGCTTCTGTAAAACCAGCAGTTGAGGCTGCTGCTGCACCTAAAGTTTCTGTGCATGAAACCCCTACATCACTAGCAACTCCTGCTTCTACGGATTGTACAACTGCCAACAACTGGGCAGACTTCAGTTCAACGTATGTTTGGGTGGTGATTATCACCTTAAATGTGATGAAGTCTTTTATAATCAGTTTTTTGTGGTTAAAGTTTATTCTATGTACTTCTCCTTTGAGATAAGAAGTTGGCAATTAACACAGTGTATGAAGATTGCAAAATAAAAATACCTTGTTTGAAGTAAACCTTTTTTTTTGGGGGGGGGTAGTAAATAGCTAAAAGTGCAACTTGGTGGAATTTAAACTGTGCTTCCTTTATATTCTCCTTAGCAAAGCAGAGAGAAACATCACAAAAGGCAGACATCCCAAACTGAAAATAGTAACGTTACGGTGGAAATCCCGAGATGTTCACCTTCCTTCTCTTAGAGTAGTTGACACCAACTCTTACTGAGGGTTTCCAACTAGAGTTATGCAAATGATAGTGACAGAGTTAAAATAAAAAACGCTTTATTAATTTCTTATCACAACATTAATAAGACTGATGCAAGTAGAACATGTTTCACTTCCCAGATATCTTTTTAACTCAGGTTAATGCTCTATGCAGTATTGATCAACCCTAAGTAAATGGGGTTGGGTAAGTAATTGCCATTTTGGCCATGTAATATGTATTTAGAAATTTAAATCAAAAGATCTTATTGCAATATTACAGTACATGATATATTCTGTTTCAAAGTTTTCATCAAATAGGTTGCAGTAGCTCTACCAGTTATTTAAACTTGTTCTGTTCTACTACAAACAGTAATTTTTCTTGGGGGATGGGAGTTCGGAAATAAAACTAAATCTTGGGCTACCTGGAGAGCTCTGGTACGTACTAGGTTCTATTGTTTTGAATAAATCAGGCTTCTGACAAAGCTGGTTTTGCCCGGGGTACATAATACATGCTTTCATGCTTGTGATAAAAGTTAATATTCAGTTTCAATACAAAGCGAGTTCCAGAGCATTTATATTACTTACACTGCCTTGGCATGGTAGGGCTTAGGGCTGGTTGTGGCCTTTGGGTACTACTGCATTCCAAATGGGCAACAATTGATTATTACAACTAATAGGACATCAAACAGGCAGAGGAAACGTAGATTTAAGAGGGGTGGTTTGTTTACACTCCTAGAGTTCGGGGGATTTTTTAAGATTTAGATGACTACTTTGAGACAAAGATGAGGATTGTGAGATTTAGTAGGCATTTTAAAGGACAAGAAATAACATGCAAAGAATAAGAGGTAGCAAGAATCTCTAAAGGTTGAAAGAAGCTAGTAGGAAATAATTTTGAGCAAAAGAGAAAATGTAAAGATTTGAATAGTGAAAATGAGAAGCAGGAATATCTGTATAAGGGGAAGGGAAGTGAGAAGTCAGTGACATATGCAGGTGTGAAGAATTCAAACCAGTTTCAAACATAATGATTTTGTTTTTCTTTTTAGTTACCTGTTTTCACTGTGCATAGTGTAGACTTCACTAGTTAAAGTTTTTTCAATTGGAGCACAGTTAAAGGATGAAACTAATTACGGGAGCAGATGGCCTTAATGAGCAAGGACTAGCAACTATGTTTAGAGTTTGCCTTTTTAAGATAAATCTATTGTACCTTTATATTTGATTCCATTACTTCCACCTTTGAGATAAGATACTAATAATTCATGGAATATTCAATCGGGGGAAATTACCTTAGAATGTAGAATTTCTTTCTGCACAGACTTTCCACGCAAATATTATTTTTATTCAGCTGAAGACAGTAAGAATAATTGTTGTTCTGTTATCTTCAGATGGCCAACAAACACGAGTGAGAAACCAGAGACTGATAACTGGGATACCTGGGCAGCCCAGCCATCTTTGACTGTCCCTAGTGCAGGGCAGCTACGGCAAAGATCAGCGTTCACTCCTGCCACCGTTACAGGATCATCTCCCTCCCCTGTCTTGGGTCAGGTAAGCAGCTATGTTTATTAAGCTGTTCCAACCCCGCATTAACTTCTGCAAAATGAAATATGAACATTGACCATTCCTTAAAAAAGCCCCCCAGGATAGGTAAGTTATTTCAGTGTGGAGTGATGAAGAGGTGGTGTAAGACCATTTGGAAAATCAGTGGCAGATACTAATATGAAGAGTTTTCTGTTCTTCTGCTATTCTATGCTGACTTGTTTAGACTAGGGTGGTGTAGTCTTCTCAATATTTTGGCAGGTTACCAGTTTTGGGTCACTTCCTTGGGGCTTTACTGAATCATGTGACAGCAATCTGTTACCGTGAAGTGGATTGAGTGGTGGCACTTACGGGATTAAGTGACATAGCACTGGCAAAGCTTCAGGTCAGATGGAATCAGCCCATCTGTTAAGGCATTGTCTTTTCCTCAGCCAAAAAACATATAGTTCTTGTAAGCTAATGTGTTGTTTTGAAAAGTGCTAAATACCTTAGTGTTTTGGAACAAAACAAAAATGTTGGAACGTACGATGAATAACTTGCAGTAAAGCATCATTTTCCATAAAGTTTACTTTAAGCTCTGCCAAAATGTCTTCGTCAGTGTTGGTTACATAGACATACATATATATATATAAAACTAATTGTAAAACTTTAATTAACTTGTTTTAAAAGAAAAACCCTGATAATCTGGCATTGCATTGTTTACTCATTAATGAATAAAAATGTAGCAAGTGTGTGAACACTACTTGTTTAACCTTTTAAATGAGGTATTTGGCTTTATATGTTCGAGAGGGGAGTCTGTGTATTTTGTTTCTGCATACATAGGGTAAGAATATAATTCTTAAGCAATTGTCTTTATGAAAGATGGTACGTAACTGACTTCTCTCTCTTTTTTCAAAAATTGCTTTAGGGTGAGAAAGTGGAGGGGCTTCAAGCACAGGCTTTATATCCTTGGAGAGCGAAGAAAGACAACCACCTTAATTTCAACAAAAATGATATAATCACAGTTTTGGAGCAGCAAGATATGTGGTGGTTTGGAGAGGTTCAAGGACAAAAGGGGTGGTTTCCTAAATCATATGTGAAGCTTATTTCAGGCCCCATTAGGAAGTCAACGAGGTAGTTTATTGGCTTTTTCTTTCCTTCTATACTGTAATGGTTAAATAAATAAGGAGTTGCACACTTGAATTTTAAAATTTAAAATTTACTCTGTAAAGTGATTTTGTTTATATCAATATCGTGGGCTGGGGCGGGGGGGCGGAGGTTGACTTCCAACCCTAAAAATTCAGGTTGGGAATATGAAAGCCGATCTCAGTTCTCCCTGGGCAATGCATTCCCTACAAAAGATCTCAAGCTCAATAAGCAATTCTACTGATGAATGAATTGCAGTAAAGTCTGACTTGTTCTCTTGTAGCTGTTTAAGTTTACAGAAATAAAGCTAGCTAGCAATTTCTTATTTAGATTGGTAAGGTAAGTTTAAGCATACAAACTGTCTTTATTTTTAAGGAACAGAACAATTGATTAAGGTGGTCTGTGTTATATAGATAATACAGAAAAATATTGCTAGAAGAATGAAAGTTATAGATCAAATATAAAGTAAATAATAGAGTAGAAATAAAGCGAGAGATGCAAATGCGTTACAGTTGCCTGCAGCTACACTTAAGTTGTAGTTCTGGAACATGTTTACTCAAAATTTGGAGGTGTGGAGAGTGGAGGTATTGCAGGCTGACAAATGAAGACTGTACGTATCTTAATTTCATGTGGCTTACAACTGAGAAATTAATCTTTGTGGATTTTATGAATTACAGATATGTAAGTGTTAGCCTATCTTTGCCCAAAATGAGAAGATATAGCTCAAAACTTAGCCACTTATCATTATTTTTGGAAGATGAAGCAACTGAAATCTGATTCTATGTCAGGTGAAAGCAACATTAGCATTAATAATACAAATGAGAATGTTTTTTAAATATTTTTCCAAAGGAGAAGAGGAGATGCAGCAACTTGTGTATTTAATACAGTTACCTAACTGTAACTATTACTGTGCTGTGGTACTTAAAAGCTTTAATTTGCATGTTTACCATCTCTTCTTTTAAATTTAGAGAATTGCTTATGGAGGCATATGCATTTTTTGTTGTAAAATATAATATGCATTTTCTGAAGAGATAATTTCTTAAATAACTTTTATTCTCTCCTAAAGCATGGATTCTGGTTCTTCAGATAGTCCAGCTAGTCTGAAAAGGGTAGCATCACCAGCAACAAAACCAGCTATGTCAGGTGAAGGTAAGCATTCAAACTGAGTGGCATTAATAGTAGTTTACTGTTTAATTAAATGAAATTAATTTGTTTAATACCGGAAACAATCTTGGAATCAGATCTTAATGTTTTAAGATCAAGCCGGTTTAACATCTGAAGCACAAATCTAATTTGCCTGTAGAATGGACTAAAATGATTACAGTAATATTTTGTATTTGTTTGGTATGTAGAACAAATAATTTATACATGCCATTAAAGTATCTCCTGTAGTTTATATTGTTCCATGTCTAAATATTTTTGTAAAATACCTGATCCAAAATGGTTTTTGCATAGGGCTGAATAAGCGCAAGTATATGTGTACTTCATGATGGCAAGAATTATTAATAAAACTATCTAAATTCCACCCAAAACTCATTTGCAGTGTTTCATTAAAGCTCTCTATAACTGATGGTAATTTTCTTAATTGAATATTGCAACGTTCGTGCTCAAGGCTACGCCTCATTTTTAAAGATAGAGCTTGGGGCGTGACAGATAGCTGTCAGGCTTCTGAAGGGTTTTTAAAAACTTACATTCCTCGTTGCTACTGCCCTTCAGCTGGAGGTTAATATCCCCGCATGAGCTATGTTAACAGACTGTCCGGGCACTTTTAATCCACTGCCATGCAGTGTCAGCTAGGTTAATTTAAATCACAGTCAGAGTAAATCAGTGAATCTAAACATAGTTCACACAGGAACCTTTTCATATAGTTTCTACAGAACACCTTTTTTTTTTTTTTTAAACTACAATTCTACATATATTTTAAGTGGAAGAGTCACTTAGTTTACTGATGTATTTAATTTGCCACTGGCATGGGTACTACAGAAATTAAAAGAAGAGAATGTTAAAGATCCATTCGCCCTGGAAAATGAAATAATTAATTATTCCAAAATACAGCTAGTTTTGCTAACCATACATCTGAGAAAAAGCAAATGAAGAAATGCTAAATCTTTTTTTTGTAAAGTATGGGATATCTCAAGCCATATGTTTATATTAAAAAAGGAACATGACTTTTATAGAACAGTTCAAAGAAACTATATCTTTAAGAAATAATATAGATTTAGTGTTTTCTATTACATTTAAAGGATTTAAGAAAAATGCTATGTGTATAGCATACGTTATGATATTTAATGTGTGTGTGTATGCGTGCAAACGTATGTATGTGTGCTTCAACTGCTATTGTTAGACAAACCATATCTTAGTTAGCTTTCTTTAAGGATAATAATTGTAATTTGAATTCGTGCTGAACTTTAGCAAATGATCTAACTCTTTTGGTCAGATTTAGTGATCAAGCAAATATAACAATTGCTAGCTGCAGTGGAATACTTGAAAGCTTTTGTTA